GGGGTGAGGTGGGTTTGAGGGGGGGGGCTGGACCTGATATGAAATGACTTAAACACGAAACCGGTCGCGAAATTTAGCAATCACTAACCATTGAAGGGATCAAACTTCATCACACCCCAACATGCTGTTTGACACATAGTTCTGTCAAATGTTGCATGTATGGTTCTCAAAAGAATTCAAAGCTGATCAAAATAGTCTAACTGAATAAGATTAGTAATACCTATATAATTATTTTTTTAGAGTAGCAAACTTCGAAGTTCTTGGGGTAAGGGTTTGAAGTTCCGATCCAAATGTTTGCGGTTCGAGTCCTGACAGGGACACAAATTGTACGCATAGTTCACGAGTCCCAAACAGGACGAAACTGCTGTCCGGTGCTCTTTGTCGCTTATCACAAACATTTCTATCGCATATATAATTAGTAATTCCTTTCATTGCAAATACGTATGTGCCGCAAAGGGGTGGACTGTCATCATTTTTTCGAAGCCCTGGGGGGCACACACAATTGCATTACGTAATTCACAAGTAGGATGCAAACAAGTGAAGCTTGAACAAAAATGCATAACACTATTTGTTGTTCTTCTGTAAATAGCCTCCCTCTGGATTCGCAAAGTTCCAGTTGGATTGGGCAGTTAGTTATCTAACATCAAAATTCACAGCTTTCTGTATGGGTGAAGAGAAATGATCAACATTCCAGCTCGATGACCGGATGTTGCTCACACTTTAGTCATAACATATACGCCCTGGTTCGAGTCATTCGGGAGGAATGAATGTGTCGTATGAGTTGGCCTTGGAAGGTCGAATGTTGTTGCAAATTCTTTCAAGGAGTATAGGCGGATTCCGATCGTTTCTGCTGTGGCCAGAATGCAACTTTCAAACCCCTCAGATTGTCGGCTTTTAACTAAGTAGATAAATTGGAAAGCTTCTGTTATCTTAACCACGTGGTTAGACTCAACTAGGTGTGAAATGATCGAGCTGTTGATGATCCAAATCACTCCACTATTCAGCCAGACCGCGTGGTGCTCACGTCTGTTCATGTGGCCAGTATAACTTGTCCCACAGGAACAAGTAAACAAGTATACACCGAGAGAGACTGCAGAAACAGGCAGTTTATCTTGGCGTTGAAAACGCCAAAGTGGTCTGGAAATTAATACAATGTGAATTGTTGCTGTACTCAGTTTACGTGTCACCATCTCCGCAGTTGTGTCACCCTTAAAAGATAGTTATGTGAAAACCGGTTTCTTCTCAACGGTATTGATCCTATGTGGCAACCGGTGACACCCCAAAACGTGAACCCATTCTGATTTTCATATCATACCATAATTCTGATTGAATAACATTAGCTTGGTGAGTAGCATTGCACTGACGGTCTGAGCTCATGTTGCTCACAAGGACAACTTCGATTTATTGTCACAGTGATTCGGGCGTAAGTGTCTGATATTGAGCATCCGATGTGAAAATAAACCACGGTCAATGAAATACAAACAAACTATTGCCGAACGACACAAGTTGATCGGGGCCATTTCATCCCCTGTTTCTGTACCGATAA